ATATATATATATACTGTGTATATATATATATATATATATATATATATAATATTTATTTTAAAAAATCAGTTTTAAGATTCAGAAGTAAGTTATTAAATTACAGTACATTTAATGACAGTACATTTGTGCTTTTGTTTGTGCCTTTGAAGCAGATATTCACAAAACATGTCTGTCTTTTCCTGTAGGACATATACAAATAGGGTGCTTATAATCGTCTTTTACAGTCTTTTGTCTTTGTTGTAACTGGTTGCATTAACTACCCAGATAGTTTTTTTTTAAGGATATTTTAGGATATTGTATTTTTTTCCCCATGCAAAATGGATCATCGACTTTTAAATGAAAATATAAGATCACCAACTTTGCACATTATCTGATCTCTGAAAACTAACATAAGGATCAACTTGTACTCCTGCAGTCCTCATCTGACACAGCATTCCCTCTCTGATCCGGTCACAGCCGCAAACCTTTCATGACAAACAGCTTTCACATCCATCTCACATTGAAGATTGTCAATCATAGCATTCCAGCTGTATGCAGCGGGCCAGTCGCAAACTGCTGGAGGCTTTTGAACCCAAACTAAGAGCCTGCTCTCCATGGCATTATGGCTTTGCTCAGTAGAACCTGTAGATGATGTGCTGCCTCCCTCCAAGATATGTGATGTAAATATTGTTTTACAGAAATAAACTCACAGCTTTTTAATGGTTTCTCCACAACTCTCTCTTCTGCAGCAAAGAGAAATGGCCTCACCGGGGGACAGCGGGGTTTCGAAGAGCTCCTTCTATTTACGATCAGGATATATTGAGGGGGAAAGCCCTCATCTGCCACGTGACATGGACCACTCTCTTGCCATCGCCCGAGAAGAGGTACGTACTCATCCATTGCATGTTGCCACACCACAATAAAAAGACTGTATCTTAGTCTCGTCATTTTGCATTTTATGACAGTTTACCTTGAATTAAATCTGTAAATTTTATACAATAAATCTAAATAAAATGGTTAAAGCTAAGTTAAAAACTTTCACAAGCTCTGGACAGTCATAGAAACTTTCCCATGCTGTGTTTAGTTTCAGCGTCTGAGGGTTGATTAACTGGAGTGATGAGAAATTATTATTTTTCTTCTGTATTTCAGAAGATTTAAAGTCGACATGAAATGAAATTACTCAATTTCTCATAATTCAGTTTTCTAGTGAAACAAGAGACTTCTCCAATGATTTGGTCTGCTTAAACCCCTTGCTTTCTTACGATTGACTGCAAGCTCACACTCATTATTGAGTGCAACGCCCACATCTCAAAATACAATCAACAACCGATGGATAGAACCAAGTCTATGCCCTATGTTTTTTTTTTTGATAATCTGTTTTGCTCATATGTACGTCACAAGAAAAGATCTGTCACTACTTCCATTTCAGACCATCACAGCCGATTTATGTGGTTGCATTTCCGCTGATTATTTGAAAAAGGTTTCATGCTCATCATCTGCCGAACTTCTCAGATCATTGTTTATTAACCTCATAAATATGCAAATAATTATATTAACTAAGGATTTTTACAGTGTGAACCATGGCAAAGGACAACCCAGGTTTGCGTTAACCCAGAATGACACTGGTTTATCAATTTCAAGGGTGTAAAGTGTGTGAAGTAATGCTCTTATTTCAGATTGTTGTGAAAGAGAAAGAAGCCATGGAGTGGAAGAGAAAATACGAAGAGAGTAGACGGGAGGTGGAGGAGATGAGGTGGGTGTTCTCAAAGGGCAGAGATTCCTGTGCCCTTGTGAGCTATGACGAGTGAAGCTTGCGTCTTTTGCCGACCCCATTTCTCCACACTTCTCCCATGACTTCATGTCTTCTCTATAAACTTCAAATCAATAAAATGATCAGAAACGTTCATTCACTACATATGTTCCTTAGCTTATATGACACAACTGACAAATCCCTGTGCATTAAACCATACAAGGCTCTGCTTACAGCTTCATGCATCAACCTCAGTGCACCTCTCAATCTGTTTATCTCTTTCCTATGTTTTTTTGAAGTTGAGCGTAAGCAGAAAGCCAATTAAAGAGGGCCTTAGCATGTCAGATGTGCCAAAGTTGGGGGCAGGGAAAGGGAGGGAATAAACGAAAGATAATTTAGCTTTGTTTTCACCCATCTTAGTTGTCACACAATTAAATGCCATTTTAACATGTTTTATATTAGTTTCTGCTTTACGATCTCCTAACTAAAGGTTCAAATCAGGTGACAGTTTTATTAAATAGCTCATGTTCAGCATTTTTTAAGTATTTTGTCACCTCACTGCACTTTTAATAAAAGATGCAGCATTGTCTAATGCTGAAGACAGTTGATTGAACCAGAACATGTTTTAAAGCTGTCCTTTTCTATTCAAGGGGTAAAGTGAACAAGGTAATCGGGAAGGGTTGAGGATTACAGCCAGGTGGACTAGGCCTTGTTAGTGTGGATAAGAATGGGGCTTAGTTCATTAGCCTGATTGGGCTTAGGATAAGGAAGGCCTAAGAGGCTAAGGAAGACATAGCTAATCCATCCGCTTACTGTGCCGGCAACCTGCTTTTCTCCAAGCAAGTCTTTCTGCCAGCTGAACTCTTGTAGTCAAACACATGACATAACAAATGCCAGTTTCCTGACACTAGGACATGAGGCTTCTACACTGCCATTCAAAAGTTTGGGGTTGGGAAGATTTTTTTTAACTGTTTTTGAAAGTCTCTTATGTTCAACAGACTGCATTTAGTTGATTAAGAGTATAGTACAACAGTTTATTATCAAATATTACAATTTTTAAATGTAATTTATTTCTATGATGGCAAAGCTGCATTTTCAGCAGTCATTTCTCCAGTCTTTAGTGTTACATGCAGTGTCCTTCAGAAATCGCTCTAATATGCTGATTTGGTGCTCAAGAAACATTTCTTATTATTAATATTGTTGAAAACAGTTGTACTGATTAATATATTTGAGGAGAATGTGATACATTTTTTCCAAGATTTTGATGTAAAAGTCTTTACTGTTGCTTTTGATAATTTTACTGCTTCCTTGCTCAATAAGACTATTAAATTCTTCAACGGTAGTGTACATCAGTCTTATTTTTTGTCTTTTTTTTTTACACTGCAGATATACAGTATATGCATAAATAAACTTGTTTTTGAAAAGTTCCTTGCATCTGCATGTTAAATTACATATTCCTCAAAGTCACACAGCCTGTTTTATTTATTTAAAGCTAAATGGAAAACAGTATGCTTAAAAAGATCTGTTTTGATCAGAACGTGTAGTGTATATGCACCTTATTTGAATATTAACTTGATTTTTGCTTATTCTTTGCAGGAAGATAGTTATGGAGTATGAGAAGACTATTGCAGAGATGATTGGTGAGTCTTGATTACTAAATATGATTTCATCTTCTCCTGGGGATATTTAATTTGTGTTCTGTGAACACTGTCAGGCACTTTTGGTTCTATTTATCTGGGCTTTTCTTCTGCTACACTGCTATAAATGAACAGGCACATCCCTTACCCAGTCACGCCACACCAACACACATATGCAATAAGGTTTTGTTACTTTCTCATTTAATTTGCAGACAAATCTTTCGTGCCTCTGGACCCAAACACCGGTCAGTTACAAGCACAAGCCTTCATGTCTCCCTGGCCTGTATAATCCACTTGACTTCAGAAAACACAAACATGTTTCTGCTCAAAACATGTCCCTTACCAGGCTTCACCCACTGACAGATTAATCTAATTTCTTTGCCTGTCCAGTATTTACGTCCATGTAAACACTCTAGGCTGTGTGCTTTCTTACATTTTCAGATTGCGATATTGAGTGTCTGGTCTAACCTTGACATTTTCTCTCTTTGTGCAAAGAAACAACCTTTTTTCATTCCCTTTTTATATTCTTCATGATAAAATGCCATCCTTGATATTCTGCTTCCCAGCTGTATCGGTCATTTCATTTTCACTTTATTTTGTATCTTTGCTTATCATTTCTTTTTCCATGGTTCATTTTCTTGGCCACTTTTCTGGCTCTCACCACCTACTTAATTTTATTCTAGGACACTTTCATTAATTTCAAAATTCGTCTATGTTTCTGACACGCTTTTCTCTCTCACATGTCCCACCCTGCTGGCTTGACTTAATGCGGTCCCTTTTTTCTGTTTTGCTCCCTCCGTCCCCCATAAATATTTGATAAATCACTCAGGCATGCCTGGTAAGTAACAGCAATTCTTTATTTTCTTTATTTGTGTTGCATCCACCACATCTGATAGTGACAGACAGGGAGAGTTTTCTCTTACTATAACCTGATACGGTATCTCTCATTGTAGTATCATCTGGTTTTGCTCTGTTGGTCTTTTTGAAGACCTTTTCTCAAACATCAGCTCATCAGTGTTTAGGAAACTACTTTGATACTGTAGCTTTCCTACAAGTTCATCATAATGTGAAGTTGCCTAAATACAATTAAGTGCAATCAAGCTAGAAAAAAGTAACTACAACAGTAACATTTCTTTTTATCACTTTTAAAAAAGCTTAATAACCATGATACATTTTTTTCCAAGATTGTTTCAAAAGGACAGAATTTATTTGAAATAGGAATATTTTGTCAATTTAATAGATCCTTGCTGAATAAAAGTATTAGTTTCTTTAAAAAAAATCATACTCCAAACTTTTAACCGGTAGTGTACATTGAAGCTAAAGTAATAGAACTAGAATAAAACCTATATAATTGATTAGAAAGCATGATAGATTGATAGTATTTATTTAAAGGTTGGGAAGGGAGTTCCACACAACTGAGTGATGATTCAGTTGAATCAGTGAATCATTTTTTTTAAACAGTTCATTAAAATGATCCATTTAGCAGACTTGCTACAATTTAATGAAATTTGTAACTGTAAATCTTTTTTAATATGTTTCCCTAAAAACGAATTAAGAAGTGCCGAGTAAGTCTTTCAAAGGTCTTCTCATCTCTCTCCATGTCTCCGTGGTTTGTCCATCTTTGAGTGTGTGTGTGTGTGTGTGTGTGTGTTGTCTGCATGCATCACAGAGATGCAGCGTCAAACTGCATTTTCATTTGTCATTATCAACGATGTAGGCATGGTGTAGAGTATAATTTCATATCTGAAGTACCCAGAGGAGCCTAACATCAACCTCTGCTGCATCCAAAAGCAAACTTGCACATATATTTGATTGTGTTGTGTATTGTATTTCTAGTGTAAAATGAACTTAATGCGTTTATGTTTTTGTGTGTTTGTCTCAGAGGGTGAAAAGAGGGAGAAGACTCTGTCTCATCACACTATCCAGCAGTTGATCCTGGAGAAAGACCAGGCTTTGGCTGATCTCAACTCCGTGGAGAAATCTCTCGCTGACATGTTCCGTCGCTATGAAAAGATGAAAGATGTTTTGGAAGGCTTCCGCAAGGTAAGTCACTTTAAACTGAGATTGATAAAGGTTAAAATCATTGTGAATTTCCATTTGCAGCTGTGTAATTTGATGTAATTCTGAGCTAAATAGAATATTCAATGAGAAAAATGAAGGTCAGGACTTGATTGTTATTGATTGTGGATGTTACATGCAAAAATGAAGCCAAACGAATGCAAGCTTACAACAATAACTATTAGGCTGTTGGTTAACATTATCTAATAGCTTGTGCTTAAGCAGAAGGGGTCATCATTGGCAGTCATTTACTCCAATACCTCTTTTTTCCTTCAGAATGAGGATGTGCTGAAGAAATGTGCACAGGAATACCTGTCTCGTGTCCGTAAGGAGGAGCAGCGCTACCAGGCCTTGAAGATCCATGCTGAGGAGAAACTGGATAAGTAAGTACAGATCTTTCACATGCATATGTTTTTAATATGTTTTGCTTTGTACGTGATTTCTTTTGCCTGGAACAACAACTGTTCGTCTAATTAAGGGTTTGACTTACACTGTGCGAGAGTCCTTAGAAATATGAAATGATGGCATGACTCTGACCATGTGGCACCCACAGGGCGAATGCTGAAATCGCTCAGGTGAGAGGCAAAGCCAAGCAGGAGCAGGCAGCGTATCAGGCCAGTCTGAGGAAAGAACAGATGAAGGTGGACTCACTGGAGCGCACACTGGAACAAAAGGTTTGCTCACACTCACAAATCCACATGCTCATCGGTTAAAGTCTGATCTTGCAAGCCTAAAAGTACATTTTGTTGTTGTTAAAACATTTAGTAATTTTTTTTTATAGCAAAGCAAACAAATATTTTATTTATTTAAATATATAATGTTATTTATGCAATGCTTCTTTTGTAAAATAATTAAGATTTTTTTGTTGAAAGAAGTCTCTTATGCTTAACAAGGCTGCATTTATTTAATCAAAAGTACATTACAAATAGTAATATAACTTTACAATAGTTTTCTATTTTAATTTATTTTAAAATATAATGTAAAATATAATACATAATTATAATCTATAATTATAATTAATATCTATCATCTAATTTGATTTTAAATAAAAAATTCATACTTTTACCCAGTACTGACTTTACTGTTACATTAGATACATTTAATGCATCGTTGCTGAACGCATTAATTTTTTATCAATAGTACAACAGTATAGTCATTTAAAATGTTACAAAAGACCACAAAAATATTAAACAGTACAACACTGAAAATATTAGCGGAGTAATGGCTGCTGAAAAATAAAATAGATTAGTATAGAAATCAGATTTTTAAAATTATAATATTTCACAATTTGAATGTATTTTTGATCATACTGTAAGAGAGGTCTTTAAAAAAAAAAAGATTAAGAGGTTAACATGATTTTTTGGATTCTGTTTACAGAACAAAGAGATCGAGGAACTGACCAAAATTTGTGATGAACTGATTGCCAAGATGGGAAAGAGCTAGCCGTCCATTCGACAGAGTTCTGTCCATACCACAAAGGGACACTAGAACAATAACCGGACATGATGGAGGGGCAAGATTAAAGTGTTCATTATTGTTTTTTCCTCTTTCTAATGGACAGAACAATAAACTAACCAAACAAAAGGAATTCACACTACTGAAGTCTTCACATAAACTGTCCCTAGGACTGTGAGGACACACTAGTTTCTGGCTGTAATTATTTTCAATGTGTTAATGTACACCACCTTACCTACGTTGAGGGTCTTGTGAAAGGACTCCCCATCAGTAGAGACTTTTTTGAGTGTCTGTATAGCTCTCTCTCTCTCTCACACACACACACACACACTAACACGCAGAGAGTATGTGTTTATAATGAGTCTGAAGTTATGAGTGCTGTTGCCATGACAACCACTGATGGAGCCGACTGTTAAACTGATTGCTATGGTACCCTCTTCTTAACTTGAAAACAGAAATGACCAGAGAGAATATATATAATATAAAACAGATGAATTAATCATTTAGTGGTCACAAAGTGGTATTCATGATCATGAAAAAAATGCATGTTGTAGGCCTTGACGGTTTTGTAAATATGAAAATGACTTGAAAATAGTAAAGGAACATAACTGCAGATTTTTATACTGTTAGTTTGATCATCTTCCTTGTGTATCTTTGTAGATACTTGTTGTTCATTTGTTTCGTTGTCTTCTAGCAACACTGATGTGTGATTTTATTTTTGGATTTTATTTTGATATATAAATGAACCCACTTGTCACTGTCAGTGGTTCTGAGCTAATTTAATCTGAATGGTTTTGTCTCAGTCCTGTTATAGCTGATGTTTTAGACAAAAGAAGCTCTGTCAGCTATAGAGGACATGCTTACAAAGTGCAATAAAAGATGGCAATACAGCTTCTGTTTATCTGACCATTAAACACAGACACAGTCAATATGCAAAATGTAAAGGCTTGATGATTGATGTAATAACAATCACATTTACATTTATTCATTTAGCAGATGCTTTTAGCCTCCCACTAGGGCATTTGAAGAAAGCAATAATGTTGTTAATGAACAAACAATGAATCTTGCTGACATGATCCTACGTATGTGCATAAAAAGATGCATTAGTTAGCCGGCAGATGGGTCTTTAAATCACGCCAGACAGACTATATTAGTGCCAATTTCATGCTGGCACAGAACCAAACTGTCTGAGTGAGTGAAGAAAAAAAAAATGAGATGGTAGAATTAAGAAAAAAAAGAAGTGTCCTTAAAATAAGGAAAAAATATAATTGTATTATATATAATAAAATTGCTTTCATTTTATTATTTTACCCCTGAAAGTGAAAAATAAATTAAATTACATATACAGTAGGAATTTAATAACAAAAAAATAGGAAGTAGTTAATGTGGGAAGAATAACTAAGAAAAACAGAAGTTACATAATTATGCTGATCTATTAAGCTGATCTAATCATTCATTTGGAGTAAAGGTTTGGTTTTAGTTTCTCTTACCGCATGCACATATTCAAACAGCCTTTGCATCAACACTTTGATTGGTTGTGTTCACTGTTCTGCTGTGTCACAAAGAGAAATCATGTGAGTTTGGTCTCTGATGGAGGCATTAGTTGAATGAAATCTGTAGGGCGTATCAGACCCCTAGCTAGCATTCAGCACTGTATGGGTGGAGCACAGTAACCGATCCCTCGTTCTGATTAGTCAAGATGGTGAGGATCCATTCAGATCTTAAGACCCAAGCACAGGCCTCAGAGGACAGGCTGGTAATCTGTGTGTCCTCACTGCCGTTGGGTATTAGCTCTCCGAAAGCAGGACTTAAGCTCAAAGGTTTTAAGAGCAAACAACCTGCTTTTCACTGTGCTAACCTGACAGCCACAGACCACCTGTAACATGAGAGCGCTCCATTTCTTCATGCTGCTGGGCCTGGGCCTCTTCCTCCTCGCTGCTCACAGTGAGTACTTCTCTGTTGTTGTTTTTTTCAACTTTTTTAGATTTTTCACTCCTGTCTTCTCAGTACTGCATGTGAGCCACACTCACTCACAAGTGTTTATTTGCTTTATAGGCAAGACTTCTCAGTCTAGTGATTTTGCTTTTTCGGTGTCATTTTCATAATTTTTGTTTAATTTAGTTTCTCCAATTTCATTCTTTTGAGGCTTCATTATGACTGAGAATGTCTTGTTGGCCTTGAGGACGGTGTTAAAGGACTAACAGAAAAGAATTGGTGCAATTCAATCCCTTAAACAGATTGAAGGCTAAAAGAGTTTGCAGGTCTGGAGTCTTTATTTTTATTAGATTGGACCAAAAAAAAGAGAGGGGAATATCTACCTGAAGTAGACAGCGAAACATTACTGTGAAAGCATCCCTGTGAAATTTGAGAACCAAGTGCTAATTAAGTTTAGAAAAAAAATATTTTTTTTAATAAGAAAACCAAAATTACACATTGAAGCTAATATGCATATGCAGATAATTAACATATGCATATTAACTCAGGAGCTCAGGTAATTTATTTATATATATTTTTTGCTCTTTTTATAAAAAATTCTCTCCCAACAAACTAAATTAATTTATTATAGAAAAGTATATTTGACAAATGACAGCTGAAATATTTCCAGTAAACATCAAGTATGGTCGTATAGTACAGAACTGTCTGGATATAATTGACAAATGGCAACTGAGGTCAGGCATAGAGAAACTGGAGATTGCTTGTTCTTTCTTGTTATGGATGTTTTGTGCAGATGATTTGTAACAACTTTATTTTTAACCTCTGTCGGAAGGTTTTTGGAGTAGGGAATAAAGGAGACAACAGCATTAATTCCAAACCAGTGATTTGTTTCAAATATTCATATGTGTGTGTGTGTGTGTGTGTAGTTTTTGAAGGACAATAAATAATACCTTTAGTGACTTATGTGACATCATGGATTAGTATAAAATTCAACAGGGTGTTCTATACATTACTTATAGTCTCAAACATTCTGAAAAATTAAATATTTACCATCTTCAGTGTCACACGATTGTCCGGAAATCATTCAAATTAATTTTCTGATTTACTTCTCAAGAAACATTTCTTGTTATCAGTGTTGGAACTCCGAGACGCACTCAACATACAGGAAGTAACAGCTTAATGTATACATTTTAGGAGTGAAAGGATGACGTTTTAGATAAATGCTTTGAAAAAGAATGTGACTTTCATGCTGGTGCTATACTTTAAAAGTTTACCTAATTTCAAACAGCCTGAAAAGCCTGCCAGTAAAATCATCTGTGAACTGAAGGTTTAGCTATCAAAGAGAGTGACTCAGATGCAGCAGAAGGATGTCTTTCGGGTGAGCTAACAGTGCTAAGACACATATAGCAGATCCTTTTAAAAGGAATAGTAAAATAATAAACAAAATAATTTATTATTATTATTATTATTGATAATACTACCACTACTAATAATAAATAGATTTTATTCTCAAGTAACTTCATTATTATGTTTCATTTTTACTGGAAATCAAGACAAAGAAAAAGAAAAGTAATAAAAATTGATGGGTCAGTACTTACACTTTAGGCATTTTTTTTTGTTGGGAATTTTAATGTTGAATTACTTTTGCCCTTCTTTGTCTCTATTTAGGTGAGGTGCTGAAGTGTTACACCTGCATGGGCTCTACAGATGAAGACTGTAATCGCCAGGGCTCCAAAACATGTCCGAGCTACTCAGATGCATGTGCTGTTGTCCGTGGACATGGCAGTAAGTTTAATGGGTACATAGTTAATAGTTAATCTTCCTGCATGGATGGATGAGAGGAAACTGGGCAAGAACATTTTTTTTTATTTCCTTGGATGTGGGTGATAAATTACAGAGGGATAAATCTTTAGAGAAATCATTAATGACCGTATATGTGTGTGTGCTTTAAGGGGAGGCACTGGATCAAGTTGGTGTTTAAGGAAGACAGACTGCTCTGTCTGGCTCCAGCTTAGAAATAGCAGGAGGTCTACAGCTTCCTTATGAGGATCAAGGCACATTAATATGTTATCACGCTCTCATGCCGTTCTTGTCATTTTAGGTGGCGTAATGAAGTCGTGCTCATACAAATCCTTCTGCAGCCAGGCTAACAGCCAGGGCTACAGAGCTCCAGGGGTCAAAGTTCACTGCTGCTACTCTGATGACTGCAATGTGACAGGACATGCCACCAGAATCAGCCCAGGCTTCAGCTTCCTCCTGGGCCTTCTGTTATTCGTCTGGCATCTGCTGTCAAACTAATGCTATACCCTAGACAAACTGACCTGGCTATTAAAGACCATTACCATTGTGGAACTTGGCGGAACTCTGTATACTCTGTGATTGTTCACATACATACCGATAAAATACAACACTGCAAATGTCAGCAAGTGTACTGCCATGGGATTGTGCATGCAATGCATATTAGGTTAATAAAGCACACACACACGCATACAGAACCTCTCATACACAGATTTAGTCACATTTCTACTCTGCATAAAGCAAATGTATTTATTATCGTTTCAGACTTTCTAGGAATTCAAAAAGCCAAAAGCCTTTCTATTCTGTAGGTCAAATGAACCTAAATGAACTCTATTAATGTGATAGTTCACACAAAAATGAAACTCCTATTGTCATCATTTACTCACCCTCATGTCATTCTTAAAGCACAAAATAAGTTATCTATACTTGGTAAAGATCTATTTTCATTGTAATGTAAGCATATTTTTTGGTGAAATATCTATTTAAAAGCCATTTTGTTGTAATGAACAAAGAGTTTGGTATAATGAAGAAAGAGATGTTTTAAGATAAGCCTCAAATATGTTGTAAATGAATGTGTAGTTTAATTTTCATGTCTTTACATGGAAATGAACATGAAGATAACACTCTCTGGCTTGTTTGGCTTTTGTGCTTGACTGTAAATAAACACTGCTTTTTCCTTATGGTTCAGTGGGTGTTTATTTATTTATTTCAATAGGATTCAGTCAGGAAACTGAGTGAGCGTATTTGTTATTCATACACTTCTTTAATTACTGAGAAAAGTATAATGTTACCTAGCATGATAAAAATGATCAAACTTCTCCAGATCAGTCTGCAGATCTTATTTTGGAGAACATCTTATCTAATCATTATAGGCCTTTATTTTCTGAAACCCCCCCCCCCCACC